CCTCATGTGCTAACCCCAACCATAAAACTATTTCATTGCTACTTCTTTTAACTGTGATTTTCTACTGTTATGAATCATAATGTAAATACGTGATAAGCAGGATATCTAATATTCAGCCCCCAAAGGCATCAAAAGCTGCTGCTCTAGATCATTGGTTAAGATATATTAACTCAAATCCAAAAATTTGCTTTCCTAGGAAAGAACATATTAATAGGACTTATTAAAAACGAATCAAGCTGACCTCATCTGACACCCTGGAAACCAAAGCAGAAGGCACATTGTTTTTAAGGCCAGGGTGCATCATCCAGGTTTGAGCACAGGCTGCATCAAGGCGCGGGTCTCACATTCCAGAGGGCTGGAACTCTACAGAGTAGGTGCCCTGACTAACGAGGGTAACGGCACAAGAGAAAAGCTCCACGGTAGATCTGAACAGGCAGATGAAAGAACCAGTGACGGACAGGTAATGGGAATTAAATGATCAGAAAGACAGAAATGAGCAGAACTTCAGACACCTGCAGGACAGAAAGAAATCACAAAAAAACACTTGATACCCCAATAAGAAGAGAATCGGGAAAAGGGGATAGAAAAGTTTCAAAATAGTGGTTAAATTTTAATCTAAAGATCCAAGCAGCTCAATAAAGACCAGAAATACAAAGAGATCTACACCTACACTCATACATCATAAAAGGCAGCTGTTGGAAACAATGACTTATGTGCATGATATTGAGACAGCTAAAACCATAAAACTTAAAAGCCAACAAAGCAACTGAAACTGCACATTTAAAAAAAAATCAAAGTGAGGGTTGGAGAGATGGCTCAGAAGGTAACAGCACTCGCTGAGCAAACCTGACAGGCTGAATCCAGTCTCAGCACTCTCTTGCCCCACCCCTCAAATAAAATTAAACTTAAAGAAACAAAAATATTTGAATTGCATAAACCATAAATGGCAAAATGATGGATGTGAATACAATCATATAAATAAGTATATTAAATGTAAACTGGGCTGGGTGTGGTGGCGCACACCTTTAATCCCAGCAATTGGGAGGCAGAGGCAGGTAGATCTCTGAGTTTGAGGCTAGCCTTGTCTAAAAAGAAAATTCTCGGATAGCCAGGGCTATGCAGAGAAATCCTCTTTAGAAAAGATAAAAACAAAAAAGGAAATTGACTAAATAACCCAATCAAATGCAAAAGGATGTCAGACTACCTTTAAAGATGGTGTGATATCTGTAAGAAACACAAGTTAGAGGCAAAGGCACAACTAGGTTTGAAGTTCAAGGAGGAAAAAGCACAGCAGGCAAACAAGAACTACAGGAAACAAGGTTGTTTTCTATCACTGAAACAGACGTAAGAGACAGAGAAACAGTTCCTAATGGTAGAATAGTCAGTAATTCAGGACAATAATTACAGGTAGATACATAACTAATAAAAGCTCCAGATGAAGGGATGAAGTAGCATGTCAACACACCGCTGTCACCGACCGACAGAGCAACAGTGTAAGCATGGCAGGATCACGCATGACCGACTCTTCTGACGCCTTAGGAACTGCACCAGAAAACACTGTTTGGGAGCACACGGTGCATTACCCGGGGTTAACTGTACGCTACCCCATTAAATACTGAAATCACACAAAGGATGCACTCTGACAAAATGAGATTAAAGTGGAAATACACAGAAGAAAGAGATCTCGGAAATCCCCAAATACTTGAAAATAAAGCAGCATATTTCTAAATAACCAAGTAAAAGAAATTGAAAAGAAAAATCAGAAAATGTTTTTGATCACATAAAAACAAGAGCAAATGCCCAAACTGATGGGACACAGGCAGGGAGGTGGTGGGTGGCAGCTGGAGCTTGGCAGGTCTCGGGAAGCTCCAGGCATGCTTCCGAAGCCTCCACCGTGACAAAGGAGAAAAGAGCGAGCACTAAGCTCAGTGAGCGAAGAGAACAATCTAAGCTACGATAATGAAGTAGAAATCTGCAAAACAGACACTCAGTAGAAACAAAGTCCATTCTTACATAAAGCTGAGTGGCGAAGCTTAGGCCAGGCAGCAGGCAGGAAGGGGAGGGAGGCAGACATGAGCTGCTAAAACGGAGCAAAGATGGAATAGAGCAAGTTTACAGAAAATTAAGCATTTACTCCAGTAGGAGGATAGATGAACTCTGGTATACACACAATCCACTATACTCAGAGACAAAGGAAACAGTGCCACACCGCACCGCGGATTCAAAGGGCACACACCGCACGGTAGCATTAGCATTCCTCTGGGAAAGGCTACACTCCCTGAGCTGGACAGCACAGCAGTGACTGGCTGGCAGGCCTGGAGTGGGGACAAAAGCTGGCTGGTAGACAGGATTTTAAAGACGTCCTGGGAAGGAGAAGGACTCAAACTCCTACACACATGCTGGATCCTAGGAGACTGAGTTGCTGTATTTTTTTTTTTTAAAGTAACTCAGGATTATCTTAAATTTTCCTGAAAGCTATACAAATAATATACATGACTTATTAAAACAAAACTTTAAAAAAAATCCATATGTTGACTTTGTGAACACTGTAAATAAGTACAGTAGTTACTCTGAGTATAAATTCACACAATAAGTTTCTTAACTGTTCTTAGTTCTAATAAAAACGCCAGACTGGCGGGCCAGTGGTCCCCACGGAGAGGGGCTCCTGTCTCCAGTGCCCCAGCACTGCGGCTACAGGTGGATGCTGCCACCCTGGCTTTTTCATGAGAGTGCTGGGGACCTGACAGGCCCGGGCTTATGCAGTCAGTCCTCCACCAGGTGAGCCATCTCTCCAGCTTTATCATTCTTGATATTGAACGCGTTTATACTGAAAGTGATTTATACTGACAAATTTAATATTTTGACAACTTTGAAGTTATTTATTGCTATGTCACCTTGAGATCAGCACAGTACAGACAGACAGACAGACAGACGTGCCACGCCCCTCTGTGATGCTGACAGCCTTCTTCCCATTCCGGCTGGGTCTCCTGACCACACCTCTTTGACCCTGCTTCAGTTCTTCTCCAAACATAACCATCACTCTCTAAGTCTCATTTCCTTAATGTCCCTTGAACAGTCCTAATTTCACAACTGTTGGTCACTGTTTACTTTTATGCTAAATATACAAAAGCCTTAAAACCTTTCAGCCACTTGTGTCTTGAAGACGCCTTTGATGCCGCCACACAGTCATTACTGAGTCCAAGCATAAAAACAACATCCGGGTACTAATTTCAAAGAAAAGCAGTAAAGTCCCCTTTAAGTCATCACGCCATGGGTGCACACTGACCTAACCTAGAATTTAAACGGGATGGGAAGGAAGCCACCCACTCGAGGCCAACCCAGTGGCCGGCCGCACAGAGTCAATAACAAGGCTTGCTATTTCCACGTCTGGCTTTCTTTTTCCGGAGCCACTAAAAACAGCTCCAACTTCAGCCCCACTGCTCTCTGGGCTGTGGAGGACATGAGAAGAAATGGAAGCCTCTTCTACGCTAGGTTCCTTCTCGCACAGCACACCTCCCCCTCACTCATGCACATCTTTTGATGCAGGTTTAAAAGGTTATTTCCTTGGCTATTTCAATAAAAACAGGTCAAAACTGTTAACTGTCAGGTATTATCAGCCATAAACCTTTGGGTTATTGATTCATTATTTCCACCATTAGTTTGCTGCAAACAAACAAATATCTGTTTACTTCAAGAGGTCACTATGTGATTACATGAAATGGACCGTATAGTTAAATTCAATGACACATGGCAGAAAAAGAAGCATTTCAGATTTCTGTTCATCAGACTATAAAGTGTTCTCAATGGATACTTGGCTATAAACAGTTTCGTGATTTTATGGCTGACGTCTTATTACAGAGACAACTACAAACACATTATATATTTTGTGTCTAACAGAGAAGGGGCTCTGAAGAACCAGAAACTAAGAAGGAGAAACTTTCTTGGGAAAAAAAAATTGAAACACGTAACACACACACACACACACACACACACACACTCCCACAACTACTACTATGCAGGTATAATGTAACTTGAATATTAGTGTACCTTAATGCAAGTTTCAAGTAAGGGTGTACACTACTACAGATGGTAAAACATGGAGGTCATTCACATGGAAACTGAAAAAGAAGAAAGGGACGCTATTGTCCCAATAACTGCTCGCCACTGTCTGAGAGACTCTGACGTGACGCAAGAGTGAAATGCAATGAAATGAACATGGATGCTTGATCAGACCGTACCCTCTCTACATGACAGCAATGTAACTCAGATCTAGCAGAAGCCAGGAAAAGAGAGTAAAGTCATCTGTAACATAGACATAAGGAATAGCTGGGAGTCTTTATCTCAGTACCACAGTGACATGTTGGAACAATTCACATCATCAATCAAAAAACAAAATGCCAAACCTAAAAAATATATCAAAAAATACATAAGAAAAACTCAAGATTCATACTGACAAATTCATAAAATCATACTGAAAAATTTAAACAAGATCTCAAAAATAGCATTTTTGGACAGCAAAATTCAAATTCATAGAAAGAACACTCTACTAAAATTAATATACACATGTAATTCCATTTTTTGTACTGGAAATGAGATCATATTATTATGATCTGGTAGGATACAGCAGACACTGTGGAAGCCCTCAGGAACACAGGGCCTGCCACTTGTCCAGGGGACCATGACTGGGTTATATTTGATCCTGTAGTCTCTAGAATGTGCTATTTCTCAGTGCCCATGTCTTCAAACTCCTCTACACTAACCTTGGCGAAGCCCACTTCTCTGAGATGTGGGTCTTCTGGTGGCCAGGGAACCTGAACCTGGCTTTATGCAGAGCCTCAATCACGTGTCCTTATCCTGCAGCTTGGGGTGAACGGATATGATGATCCGGCCACTGTGAACCCCAGCCACTGTGCTGGGGCTTCCCAAAGGTGCCACATACACCTGCCTGGAGCCTAGACTGGGAACCGCTCTGAGATCAGCGACTTGAATAACTGCCAGAAAATTATTGTCAAGGTCCCTTTGGACAACCCAACTAGGCAAGAGGCTGCACATACTACCAAGAAGCCTGCAATTTGCAATCCCTGCACATCAGGCCCTCATGGGGAAAGGGACTTGGTCAGCTTAATTGGCTGCAAAGTGATTCCAATTATTTTTAAATGGATGAAAGACTTAAGAGGTAAGTATCCTCTAAGGGGGAAAAAAACCTAAAAATATTAAAAAGAAAAGTACTGAGGAGTTTTGCAAAATGTTACAGAACTGGAATAATAAAAGACGAAGACATCCAAGTTCAGCAGTCCTGACACGTGCAGGCTGCACCAGTGCCAACAGCTGGAACCCGAGGAGAAAATACACTAGAAAGGAGTGATGGGGAAAGTGAAGAGCCACAAGTCTATCTTCAGGACTCTAGGAAATTCTACACTTGGGGCCAGGTGAGAACATGAAGGCGCCACCAGCAAGCACTGCTTCAGAGCTGACAGGAGGACACAGATGTCAAAGTTTAAGCAGTGTGGGAGACACTGGGGTTCTGCTTTAGACAGAGAAAAGACTTTGGTAACCCTGATACCAAATCTGAAGACCAGAAGAGGCCTCACCGTGAGAACCACATCCCAGAGGATGCCCTCAGTTTCACCCACCCTAACAAAGCCAGAAGGCCACTCTCTCAGAAGGGAAGGTACCAGGGGTACTGGTTAAGTCCTGCTCTGCCCAGCTACACAAGTAGCTGTGTAGCTATCTCACTGACATTATGGACCAGAAGTGTAAGGTACCCAGAAATGCACCAATTAAGAGAAGCTCAAGACTCCAAAATGATCAAGATACTGAAAGATCTAAACAAGACTTTAAAACATATGTAAAAACAACAGTGCTAAATAACAAGACTCAGTTTCATAAAGTGACTACCTTTTTTTCTGGTTTTTGGAGACAGGGTTTCCCTGTAGCTTTGGAGCCTGTCCTGGAACTAGCTCTAGTAGACCAGACTGGCCTCAAACTCACAGAGATCCACCTGCCACTGCTCCTCTGTCTCCCAAGTGCTGGGATTAAAGGCGTGCACTACTACTGCCCGGTTGTAGCCACCTTTATAAAAAATATTACTGTAACCACAAGAACACTCACACAATGCAACATCTATCCTTACCAAGCTCAAGATGACCTGGCATAACTGAGTGGTAGAGAACCAATGCCAATGTGCTGTGGAGTCCCAAAACATACCAACCATAGTGCTGACTATAAAAACAACCCTTAGCACCAAAGCACACCAAAATAGCCAGAAAGAGCAAACCCCCTAAACAAACAAAAACAAGACACACATTAAAAAAACAAAACAAAACAAACAAACAAACAGGACAATAAGCCCACAGTCAGAGACTGTAAAGGATAGTCAATAGACCCTGACATAGAAACAGACGAGGCATATGAACACTTTTAATACTCCTAGTCATGCCAACGTCAGGCCTGCCAGGATAGAACACACAATCACAAAGAGCTTCTTGTATGTTCACAGCTTTAATATTCAGGAGGTTGTCATCACCGAGAACTAATATCAGAAAGCACAATGAAAAAAAAACCAATCATTTAGTTATTTTACAAATACACCGACACATAACCCGTTAAAGTAAAAAATCAAATTAGTGGGGGTGGAGAGATGGCTTTGCAGTTAAGAGCACTGGTTGCTCTTGATCTAGGTTCAGTTACCAACACTCACATGGAAGCTCACAACTGTCAGTAACTCCACTTCCAGGGGACCCAATTCCTTTCCTGACATATGTATGTATATGCCTGCACACATGCAATACGCAAACATACATACATGCACTCACAAACATTAAAAAGAATCAGCTTAGCAATTACGAAGACCCATTAACAGAGTGTCATTTATGAAAGGTAATTATTTATAGGAGACTTTTAAAATCAAATACACCTGCATGTATGGCAGCTGAGAAGCATAAGAAACCATTTGCCTCAATTATGTCTAAGTATCAAGCTTGTCAATAAATCCCCAGTAGAAAATTCTTAGCTTAAAAGATACCACTTCAATTAAGAAAAGTCACCTGTTTTGACATTTTCCTGGTGCCTTGTACTTTATTAAATTACTCACTAGAACCCCACTCAAGATTCTTAAAAATAAGTTACTTCTCAGATGTTTACTGCGTATTTAACCAAATAATCTGGCACCTGAAGTACCTGCCAAAATGCCACCGAGAATGCGGCAGGAAAAAGCAAACCAAACAAGAAAGTGCTCTTTGTGGCAACTCTAACTAACTGCAACAGAGATGGCTCAGCTCTCTTCCTCAGATATATTCTCTTTGAATTTGAAAAGCATTTATTCTAAAACTTAGCATCTTTATTATTGCTTTGTATCAATGCATGGATGTCTCCTCGGAAAAGCTCTTTATCTCCTCCATTCTTCAAGACTCGTGGAGACCACATTCACAGGTTCTCATTTGTGCTTTATTTTAGTGCTTGTCTATTGCAGATTTCTTCTAGGTCTGACTTCTTCCTCTGTACTGAGATATCACAAAGGAATTTCCCGGCTTTGACTTGCAGGAAACACTAGGTGTCCATTGTTGGCATAAAGCCATTATAATCAGTCTCAAGACAGCATAGCATGGCAGACAAGAATACCTCTTTATTTCACCACTTTACAGACAAGAACTAAAAGCAACCCATATTCTGTCCTCTGAAAAGAATATTACAATGTTACTACTTTCATCTCACTTTCTAAGCTTAAATCAGGGAGATGTTTTAAGGAGAAAGTATTTAGCGCATATACAATATTACAAAATGGTTCATTTAGTTTACTTCTTTGAAGTTCCCATAAGAAAAGTAACTACCTTAAAAAAGAGAGGGATTGATCATCACTGACTGAATACTTGGTTTAAAAACTCTCCAGGGGCTACGGAGATGGCTCTGTGGGTCAGAGTGTTTGCTGTTCAAGCATGGTGTCCTGAGTCAAATCCCCAGCACATGTAAAAGTTGGGTGTGGCTGAGTATGTGCCCCCTATAGCCGCAGTGCTATGCAGGGCAGAGACAGGAGGATCACTGTAGCTTGCTAGCTGCCTGCCCCATTCCAAGCCAAATGACATCCTGACTCAAGGAAGCCAAGTGGAGACTGGTACATCAGAATGTCCCATGTCTTCCTCTGACCGCCACACATGTGGCCTTCCACTTATCCCTGCACACGCGTGTAAATATATTACACACACATATACAAATATTTTCCAATATATTAACGAATCTCACTAAAGCCACAAATAATTATGACTTCTAAATGCAAACCCCTTATGAAAAATCAATAGAAACTCATGTTAGCAGTATTTGCATAAAACACTAAGAGACCTCTGGGCCCACAAACTCGGATTATGGGTCTTAATTCAAAAGTAACAGGACTCTGTTGCTGTTGCTTTATGACAATTTCATATGGAGAGATGTAAAAATTTAAACTTTTCTATGCTGCCTCCATTTTTACTCCTAAGATCATGTGAACATGGATAATACAAATTAATTGTTATTATGATAATACTGCATCACACATTTTGGGATCCCAAGAAAAGCAAAAAATTCTAAACACCTGTTACACCATTTAAAAAAAAAACAGTTTCATTTATAAGAATGATCACACAGAAGTTTTTTAAAATTCTAAGAACTGAACTTTTTAAAGAGTTGACTGAAATTCAACGTAACAAAGATTAAACAATTCAATAGAAGTGTATATTTTATAAGTTCATGCAAATCTATACTTCTGAGGATCTCACACGTTCTGTCATTATAAAGTAGAAAAAAATCTAAGTTTGTATAGTTTCTGTTAAAAGTATCACAGATATTTGTATTGTGCTTCTAATGAGAAGTCATAAAAAGTATTTCTTTATATTTCTATGTATTTTCTAGCCTTTTTTAAAAAAAATCCTTCATGGGATTACATTTGGCTAAAAAACTAGCTGCTATATACCAGAGTTCAGGGTCTTTATTGTGCTCTACAAATCTTTTGTCTGCGCTGGATAACAAAGCTTTCAGAAGATAGATAACAGGAGGTAAGGACAGCGGAAGAAAGGCCCAGAAGAGCTACGCGTACAGAAGCAATCGCAGAGAATCCCACACAGGCACTCGTTTTCCACAGAAATGTTTTATATACAGAGAAAACGCTAAAGAACATGAACATTTCCCGTTAGCTTTGTGCTTGACTCATCCTGGCTCGCAAACCAACAGTCCGGTGAGACGGCGCTCAAAAAGCACCTGAGAAAGAACTCAAACATGCTCACCCAGAATTGCCGCAGCACTTTTACCACGCGTTGGTGAGGGCAGGCACCACAGTCACGGAGCTGCATGTCAGGCGTGATTCACTGAGGTCAGCCGCATCAACACCAGCTGGACCAGAGCTCTCAGGGTCTGAAGGGTTTTGGAAAATACCAATGCTACATGTCTACCTAGCACCCCAAATGCTACATGTCTAGCTAGCACCCCAAGTCAGGATGCCCAGCAGGCTCCCAGTAGGAACCCAGAAGGTTCTGGAAAACGCTGACTGTCAATATTTTTTGTTTGTTTGGTTGGTTGGTTTGGTTTGGTTTTTGAGAGAGGTTTTCCCTGGCTGTCCTGGAACTCACTTTGTAGACCAGGCTGGTCTCTCACTCACAGAGATTCACCTGCCTCTGTCTCCCGAGTGCTGGAATTAAAGGCATGCGCCACCATCATCTGGCAACCATCAACATTTTAAGAGATGCTTTCCCCATCCATCACATAAGTATTCAACACTCTAAATAGTAGTTCCATATCCATCTGTTGATTTAAAAAAAAATCAAAAACTTATTAATTTTATGTGTTTTACCTGCATGTATGTATGTATATCCATGTGCGTGCTTGGTGGCCTCAGGGATCAAAAGAGGTCATTGGATCTCCTGGAAATGAACTTATAGATGGTTGTGAACCACCACGTGGGGCTGGGACTTGAACCTGGGACTCTGCAAGACTAACAAGTGCTCTTAACAACTGAACTTTCTCTCCAGGACCTATCATCTTTTTTTCCATATAAGAAAAACGAGTTTGCCTCTGCTCAAAGAAAATGACAAGGGAACACTAACCCTGAATTCATGTCTGTTGTTGCTGCCACTGGGATGCGTGTGTGCATGCAGTCTCTGAGGCTGAT